TAATGGGGAGCTCCCAACCTCGCCTGTTCATGTGGGCATCTCTGCTTTTCAGGATTCTCCATCCTCTCCTCTGCACTACCAGCATCATGATGGGTTGCCTGCTTCTCCCCCTGTCCCTGCACTGATACCAGGCCAACCTTTGCCTCCAAGCCCCTTCATGGGGATACCTCCACTTGGAGTATTTATCCCCCCACCTCCTCCAGGAACACCATTTATGCCCCCGCCTCCTCCCTTATTTCCAGGTGACAGGAGACCGCCTCCTCTAGGTCGCATGTCCTCACCACCTCCTCATCGGTACACCCCTCCTCCACCAGATCCTCGAGGTTCGTTTTCTCCATATGACCATTCACCACCGCCATCGCCTCCTCCGGGCCGACCTTATAGATCCCCACCTCCTCGTGGTGGTGATTCGCCAGATAGGTTTAGGCAGCACAGGTCCCCGCCGCCGCCGCCACCACCACATTACAGCCCGTACTCTTCCACCTCATCGCGACCACCCCCTCACAGGGAAGATTCCCATAGGTTCAGACCTCTGCCACCACCAACCCATAGGGATAGTCCACGGGAACCAAAAGGTGAAATATGATGTTTTGTTACAGCGCTCTTCTCTTATATGCTTATGTTCTAACTTTGTTTAACCTCAATTGTGCTGCATAAAGGCTGGAAGAAATTTTCAAAGATTCGTCAGTTTTGGAGCTCAAGGGAAGCTAGTGGAGGTAAATAGTGGAAGATTAACATTTAGTAGGCTTAGTATAGGTGTTGGTAACTATGTTGCCAGTATTTTTCTGCTTTGCAAATAAAGTGCAGTTAAACTTCCATTTTATGAAACGTTTTGCATCAAAATTTCCCATGCCTTCTTGCCAGCAAAATATGTGTGGTATTCGTTGCGCGTAAAAGCATTTGCATTTTAATATCTAAGTAACTTAAACTTCATATGGAAGTTTTTTGTGATTTTTCTTGGAACAATTTTCAAACAAAGAAAGTTGTGTTGTGACCCTTAGTGACATGATGCTTATTTGTTACCCTAAATATTCATAGCTAGCTTGGACCATTGAAGTGTGAACAAACTTATAATTGGAACCTGCTAGAAGCAGCGGCAAAACATGTATAGATGCATATCCTCTAAAGCTGTGGTTGAATTTAATTAAATTATTATTATTATTATTATTATTCCAGAATCATTTCTGTTTTGTTTCAGTAAAATTTTATTACACTTCATTTCTGTCAAATGTAACCCATACTTTACATAAAAATTAAATCAGACTTTATCAAAATTCTCAAAAACAGCTTATTGTAGAAGAAATATTGTTTGTTGCACGACAAATTATAGATCTAACCAAGTTATACTATTTTTACTTAAAGCTTTTTCCATTTGATGAAAATTCAAGAAGGTTCAAAAAGAAAATAGTTTATAACTTTCTGCAGCATAATATCTGTAATGGGATTGATTAGCTTTGCTATAATAGATCTGTAGCTGCAATAAATCAATATCGAGGTCACAAAAACTACAAATAATACATTTAGAAGTATGTGTAGTCTATTGTAATATAACTACTCTTATTTTTCTGCTGTATTGATTAATATTTTTGTGATTGTTTTATAGTTATTTTAGTGTATCTTGTCTGATAAGTATGATTGATGCAACTTCCAAAAAAATCTCTAGATTTATTTCTGTGGACACACTGTTACTGCAAATATTTATAGTGAATACCAATTTGTTGCAGGGCCAACATTAAGTTCTGGGCATTCATCAGAATCGTTGGATAATTCAAGCCGACAAAATAGCAGAGTATAGCAGCAGTGTCCTTACATTTCTGTTTAGTTACACAGCATCAGTCAATGCAAGCTTTGATATAACAGAAATTTGGGAAAGACGTGGTAAAGAAGTATAGAATTTATTTAAAGAAATCACAGGTAATTAAAATGTATTCTGCTGTTTGAGAGAGGTTAATACAGAATGTAAAATTTGAGGTTCTCAACTATGGAGTTGATGATGATCTGGGTTGTGACATCATTTGGACTTCTGAGAAACATACTGTCAACTTTCAGGGCTGTTGAAACCCTGCAGGGGACTGACCTTTTTGACTGCAGTCTTCTGTGGGTTTGTCACTTCTCCACAAGCAAATTCTGTGTCATATCTCTTTCCTTCCATATCCCTCCCGTTATAACATTCAAAATCACCGACTCACCCGCTAATTGACCGACCTTTCTTTCCCTTCCTGCACACCTAAGTGGGAATTCAGTATTGAATACTAGAGTTCAGCGTCTCAGGATTAAGACACTGTGTCTTCATTGGTAGGTTATGAACTGATATCAGTATTTTGAAATTCTATGCAACTGGTATATTTTATACATGATACGAGCTAAGAAGTGATAATGGACAAAATTAACATGTAGCTGTAAACGCAAAACTGACAATTCATAACATGAATTATACCAATCAGTGCAATAGTAGAGGAAATCCAGAAATGCGATTGAACTTGCAAGATGAAACAGTTAAATATCTGTGTAAGATTTGAGGTTTTCACAGCGGTGAGTATGAAGATTTCTGTCTTCTTGGTTGTTGCGCCGTGTAGTCTGGTAGATGAATGTTCCTCGCCCTGATAACGGAGGCAGTATGACCTCTGAAACGTTGGTTAACATCGACCAGACTACACAGCGCAGCAACCCAGAAGACAGAAATCTTCAGTTAAATATCTGCTTAATACGATGTAATGAAATGACATGTTTAACAGTATTTACAAAACTGACCACCACTGAAAGATATAAATAAAGTTAAATGGACAAAGGGATTTTTATAAATGAAAGCACTTGTCCATGTAACTCCGTTTCTGTCTGCCAGTGGCTGTCATATGCTGTTGTGCAGCCAAATATTTATAATATACACATGAGTTAAATTATTCTGAATTTTATATTTATATGTTGTTAAACAGTGTTTCCTACATCTAAATTAGTGTTCAGATTTGTTCGGTGTATATGTTGTTGAACTGTATTTTATCATGTGTAAAAACTGTTACTAAGTGTATTAAACATGACTTTTAGAGCTGCATATGTTATCAGTGATGAAACATGAAGTAAATTTAAGTAATTATTTTTATTTTTTTTCAGGGTGCATGACTTTTTTCTTGGCAATCTACAACGTAATAAAGCTCACTGTAATGGATATTGACTGTATTATGTCTAACCAGTTACTGCAAGACTTTGATTTTGCTAAATTGTAAATATTTTATAACGGCTCTGACGGTGATGGCCAGTATCATGACAAATGTTGTGGCAAAAGAACTAGCATGGATATAAAAGGAAGAAATTATATTTTGAACAGTTTTGGGTATAGTTCATGAAGTTTTTGTATACTTATTTTAGGAATGGTGTGATTACAGCTAGTCTAATTGTAAATAATTTATAATATATCTCTTTTAAGATATTGCTATATGATGTATAATCCATGTATTAAATGCAGCTTAGCAGAAGACCTAACTTATTCCATACACAGAACCTGTATCCCATGGAGGATCTATTAAGTGTATTTAATAGTTCATGTCATAGTATGCAAAATTCTGTTAGTAATATGGATAAGGAGATATGTTAATTGAGTCTGATTATATGCACCTTGATGTTGATTTCTGATACAATGTGTGAATGCAACAAAAGTAATTTCTCGTGAATATATCATGTTCCTATGCCTTCTTTCCTGGTATTGTGGCAGTAACATGCCTGGTAATCTGATATGGCCTCTTGGCAGAGGTAATCCCATGAGAAGCATTCTACTGATATGTTGTGTCTAGAAAGTACTTTGAAGGCATTTTATGTATTTTTAAAGAGGCATTTCAATACTTTTCTTGTTTTCAGCACTGAGTCTGAAGTTTTAGCATATATAATGCACTATTACTGCAAATAACAGAATTGCAGCCATCTGAAGTTTGTATATTTAATAAAGTGAAATTCTGTCATGGATAAAAATGTGTCCTGTAAGACATTTATAAGTAGGATTTAAGGTCTTCATGGCTGTGAGTCTGAAGATTGTTGTATTCTGAGTTGACTCAGACCTTAGAAATGTTGGTAAACTTCTGCCAGAGTACAGGGGGCTACAACCCAGAAGATAGTCATCTTAAGGCATTTTTACAGTTTGTGAGGGAGGTTAGAGATGTTCATTCTTTCTCCAAAGAAGATGATCTGAAAATAAAAAAATTATTGGTATATTTAACTCGCACACCAGTATTAGAATTTGTTTATGCTACACTAGAATCCAGCATAAGTAAACGTGAGAAAACGGAATTTGAGATGTGCATTTCAGCAGGTAAGGAGATTTTGTTTTTAACAGTATTATTATGATTAAGTATTACAGTACACTATAATACATAATGTAAGTAAAGATATATAATTACATGATCATTTTAAAATACTGACATCAATGTTAATTTTCTGAAGTGAATTTTGGCTTCAGCATCTTAGACAATAGTATTTCAACTTTTGTTTTTAGGTACTCGATGGAAGAAAACTATCAAGAAGAAGAGAGATGTAAATAATTTCTATAAAGGCAGTATCAGATCTATAGAAAATATTCCAAAGGTAAGAGACATTGAAGGAATCACTGGAACATGTTTATTTTGTTTGTTCACTGATTACAAAGCAAAGGTTTGTTCACTGATTAAAAAGCAAAGGTTTGCAGTGTTTCATGAGTGTGCCTTACATTTGATGGCCTCTAAGAATTGATATAGCACTTTTTCCTTTCCTGAAGACATTACTCAATGAATGGTGTCTTACAATCAGTGGTGTATTAAAATCAATGAAATACAATATTAAATTACTCTTTCTTGTAGATTTTACTCAGAGTGTACAATCAATGGTACTTCTGGATTTTCTCTAACATTAATTTAACTCCAGCAATGGGAAAATTATGTACAGCATTCAGAGAAACATGAAGGAAAAATGAGAGTAGGATGATCAATAGAAAATACAATTGTAGATCCTCTCAAGGAGACCTCTGAGGAAAAAGTAATTCAGGCTGGCCAATTACACTTGTAAGTATTAATGGATAATCATGGTTGGTTTATTTCATGTTGCTGTTCACTGTTGTGTAGGAAGTAATTTATTGTACATTACTATGGCAACCCAAAAATATCAGAAAACAAGAGTAACGCTGTTATGTTGTTTAATTTTGAAGTCCACTGCCTAATTCTAGAGGTAACATACAGTTCCTATGCACCTGTAATAATATGAATGTTGGAAGTTAGGTTAGATGATAATCATGTGACATAAGTAAGTTGTGTGTGAAACATGTGCATGGAGACATATGAATTACCTTTTATTTTCAAAACAGCAGCCAGAATATGTGATGAAAAGAGACCACTTGTAAGATATACTCATAGATTTGAGAATATTAAAATGTATCTGAAAGGAATGGGTGTGGACTGGACTACATTGGCTCAGGATAGAATCCAGTGGTGGGGTTCTTGTTAACAAAGTAATGAACTTTCAGGTTACATAGCAGGTAGAGAATTTATTGAAGATCTGAGTAACTTTCACCTTCTCAAGGAGGGTTCTGCTTATGGATAGTTTTGAGTTCAGCTCTTTGTGGTTATGGTTTTGACAGGTGTTTGATAAGCAGAAGCTGCATTTTACTGTAATAGACAAATCAAACACAAACACAATCAAGAAGTCAGTATGGATATATATGAGTATGTGTCTCATATATATGGCCATCATTTATTTTTATATTAATGTCTCACATTACAAACTTATATTAATCCATAGTCACACAACAATTCTGAAACTAGATAAATGATAATTCTAAAAAAATAAAATAAAAATTCAGTAACTTGTGGAATGTAATATCTTTTTGTATAGACATATACATTGATATTTATTCATAACATTTAATCCACACTGAAATGCTGCCACTTGGTAAAAATCAACTGTACTGTCATAAAATATACAAATATTCAATAACATGATAGAATCCTGTCATTTCACATAAACAATCCATTGCAGTTTAGACCTAATGGGCATTCTCAGCATCCATCATAGCCATGAGTGAGTGACTTTATAACCTACAGAGGTCAACATTTAATATACTCTTGTACATATAACATTTAACAGTCATTACCTGAACATTATAATTACCTCTTCATAGCATTAACATTAACAATATTTTTCTTAAGTTCCATTTTTTTATCTTATACTTTTGTTGAACAAATTCACTTGCATGTATAACAGTAGGATCTGAGGGTCTTGTGGCTTTAAGTACAAATATGTCTTCTATGCTGTTGCACCACGTAGTCTGGTAGACGTTTACCAGATTACACAGCGTTACAACCGAGAAGACAGCCATCTTCATTTACGACAGAGATAAATATGAAAATTTGCAGTATCAGTATGTCCCATAAACATCCATTAACTGACAACTAAATGACACCAATATTCTCATAAAACTAACAACTGCACAATGTTCCACACTATGCATGCCACGGTACTCCAGGATTATAACCTGGATGTCCTCTCTCTTTGTCATGATTTACCGGCCACTACCCTCAGCTGTCTCATGTATGCACATTTCATCAAAAGCAGCGATTACACATGTAATATACAGAAATAAACAGGGTCATGTCAATTCCTTATTTCTTATGCATTACTGTACACTCATAGGGGTTATTAACTTCACCCTTAACAGTTCCTGTACAGCTTGACATGTTTGTATTAAATCTGGATAAAAACCAGTTGGACTCCAAAGGGTTAAAAAGTGTACAATTATCAAACACAAGATGAATAACACAATAACAGGTCTCAAATAGATAGCAGAGATCACGTTTGGTGGTAAATGAAGTTAAAAATAATTGGCTGACTTGTATTTGGTAGGTGCCTTGTTCAAATCAATTGGGATACTGTCTTGACTGAATATTCACAGCTTCGTAAGTTTCTTGAAATATGCCATGAGAATTTCCTTAAACGTTAACGCACTAATTAATATTATAAGTTGATGCAAGGACAGTTTATGCACATTCCACAGGAATTACTGATTTATCAGAATACATTATAATATATGGTAAAAACATCTGACCAACCAAAATAATTGAGATTCAAGGAGATAAACCATTATTATAACAAAAGCTTGTATCTAAATTGGAAATAAATTACTTAAGTATCATATAATAGGTGTGATACCCCTGACAAAGCAGCATATTTCATACCCTTGGTCATAAGTTATGAGCATTGTCTTTGACCTGGCATTTGGCTGGTCTTGGAGTAAAGGTAGCTTAGTTCTTGTCACATAATACCCACCATAATCTGACTAGAAAGTATGTACGTATAAAGTATGCCAGTCAGAGCATTTATTGATAAACAGCCATTGAAATGCAATATCAACTTAAGGTACAGTCTGTCACAACATTTATTATACACTGAGTGGATGCAGTTTTTCAAGGCACTTTGAGCTTCACATCGTCAGAGTCATTACTAAAATTAGAAACATTTGTACACTCAGTTTGGGGGTGCGAGTGGTATGGCAGGTCATTTAACCCATTTTTGAAGGTGTGAGGTGCATAATATAAGGCCTTGCCTACCGTATTATGTGAACATCAGCTTCATATGGTACATCCCATTATGACTAATGAGGGTCAATGAGACCAATTCATGGAGGAAAGCAAATGCTACTACCCCTGGAAAAGGACCGAACCTTGATTATGTAATAAACTTAAACTCTTCTCCCCAAAGAGTACAATTTTGTTTTCTTACTTCATTTTGACTCTGAACATGTGATCCAATATGAGCCTTAAAAACTGTGAATTTATAACCTTGTTATATAATAAGAAAAACCACACCGAAATTGTCTATAAGTTAATAAACATTCTTTTTCACCAAAAGTCACATTTACTTGCTATAAAATATAAAAATGCATTTACACACAGGTATCATAATAAATATATATACATGTAAAATTATATAACTTTTAATCTACAAAATATTGGAATGCCAAGAGGAAAAATTATACTTTAGCAGTCACTATTATAAGAACCTGTGAAAATTCAGATTTAGTAAAAATAACATGAAATGATCTCTACCATTAGAACGAATTTCAGTAATTTTAATCAATGATATTCATTACAAAAAAAGAGACGCAACATTGGCAACAGTTTTCTCATTTGCATAGCACAGTAAAAAAATTCCCCTGCGTTAATACAGATAATTTTTGGCAACTGAACAATTCTGATTTATTCAGTAAAATATACATTTCATTGCTATAATTCTGCAAATTGTTTCACTTATCAGTAATTATGACGAATACAATGTTAAACACGAACATACATTCTGACTTATACAAATATTTGTCAGGTTCATCAAAAATTGTAGTCAACAAAATCTTTTTATTAATATTTACACGGTCTACCAAGAATTAATTAATGTCACAGCTGAGTCATTAGTATTCCTGTTTCATCTTCGCCTGGAGACACCATCTTGGATTTATGTGCCTTGACTCAGTCCCTCCAGGAAAATGCTATGATACTATCTTAAACTAGGCCACAACCACTTCCTTCCACATCCTTTCCAATTCACTATCATCCTCTCATTCTACACTATACAGTCTGAGTGTCATTAAATAAACTATAAACATCTTTAACGTTTCAGACTTTGAAAGCACAGCTGTGAGGGGCGGAGGACACAATGCAGAGAAGCAGGCACAGGAGAGAAAGAAATAAAACTTGTATTTATTATCTCCATTCTTCCACTGTGCAAAAAAGGAAAGGACATGTAAGTTTTTGTTTCACTGTCATCTGCATTTACTCTCAAGAAGTCACTAAAATGGTTGTAGTATAATCACTGGCCAATATTCATAACCAGACTTAATAAAATAGTTAAAATTTCATTATACAAGAGCATTATTTAATTAATACGCTAGTTTGTCTAAATTTCCTGTCTCGTTAATAATGCCTCAAATATAATGCAGTACAAATATAAATTCTTTTCTTATATCAGTGGCTCGAAATGTTTTGTGTCGTGAACCTAATTTTCGTCAATGTGGCCTCATGACCATTAGGTTCATCCTACTGGACATTTCTGAGCCTTATAAAACAAGAAATGTCTTCTTATCATCTTTGTGGTCCTACTGAGGGCCTGTGTCATGGTTTACACATTTCAGATAAAGGTCTGAAATGTAGGAATGAAATACACTAAAAGAGGAGACCAAAATTCATACTATTATCATAAATGAAATTATATTAACTCCCTTCTCCAATATGGGTATATAAAAATGATTTATTGGTCTATGTATATGACTGAAAATAATTACATATGTGCAGAAAATTGTGGTACCAAATCAAGTTAAGAGCCCAAATTTAGCGAGACATCTTCTGACAGCAGCACATGTAACAAAACATCTTTCCTGAGGAGTTAAAATCCAGTCCATTCTTATCTAAAGACTAGAGCTTCTTTACAGTATGTTCACCATCGCGAGACTGAGTGCCGAGCCACAAGCCAGTCCGATGCCCAGGAAAGCAGCCATCATTGATGAAGCGGTCTCTTGCTCAGCAGAATCAACGACTCTGCAAATTCGATCACAGTGAGTCAATAAATTTAACAGACTTCTGTTCTGCATGCATGTGATGATATTGTATCAACTGCTGAGGTTCATGTGTAAAATGACAGGCAGTAATATGACTTGGCCCCACATAGCACGCCATTTACACGGGGAAGAGACTTGCCTCCTTGTGAGGATAAGCCGATCATTAGTGCGCCTGTAAGCATGGACATAGATAACTGGAGACAAAAATATTTTTGCCAGTATCAGATATTAATCCTTGAAAGATGTGAAGCACACTAAACTGAAAAATGATTTACAGGCCCACTGAAGAATTGTCTTTATATATTTGATAAAAGCATAATTTCAGAGTAAAAAATGCCCCTGGTTGTGTAAGTCTGTAGCTTCCTATGCTTTGTTTCCTTATAATTGGGAGTATTGCAACAGTGACCATTCTGAAACACTTAGTGAGATTTAAGGTTCTCATGGCAGAGAATATGAAGACTGCCGTCTTCTGGGCTGTTGTTCCACGTAGTCTGGTAGAAGTTTACTGAGGTTTCGAGAGGTTCTTGTCGCATCCATCATCAGGATGATCATCAGACTACAAGGTGCAACAAGCCAGATGATTGTATAATCAATAAAAATTTACACAATTCAAAAAAGAAGAACTTACTTCGGTACGCAGATGAGCGTGATGTTTGCCAAGTAGCCATTGGACAATGCAAACAGCACAATTATGACGATATAGTGGAGATCCGAGTTCATCAGGACTGGTAAATGATGACGAGGCTGCGCATTGCACAGCAGGAGAAGGGGAATGAATACTACTCGAAGTATACTCAGCAGGGCAACCACCCAGCTTTTGTTCCGTGGCTACAACAAAACAAATATACTATGAGCTTGTGGCTCCCTCTCAAACTCAGGAACATGCAAAAAGCGATCATACTCTGATTTACTTGTACTGTTTGGATAAACTCACCCGCTGCAGAAGTCCTGCGAGAATCCTCCCCACATAGTCACATGTGCTGAAGATCAAATAACCAACTACAGGAACAAAGTACATATCTGAAACAGCAACCAGCAAACATATTATGCCACTTCTACTGTTATGATCACAGGAAGATGAGAGTGGTTGTGAGCTCCACACTTGGATTAAGTAATGCATAATCTCGCTACAAAACACAACAAGCATGTAAGAAATAAAACATGAAAACGGGGGTCTTCGACAGACAACGTACAGATTATGTTATCCGGATTACATAATAAGTTGAATTACCTTTCCCAGACTGATGCCTGGTAGCAAATGGTGAAGGTTGAACACTGCTATCATCAACGTAAGATACTGCAAATATGTATTTTGAAATGAAGATGGAAACAGAAGAGTCCTTCTTAACGAGACAAATGTACACTCAGCTAGTCAAGAAATTTCCTACTTGAACCAGATGAATCTAATTCAAACCCTCAAAACCTAATTCCCCAAGATCCATTTTAATATCATCCTATATTTGCCTAAGTCTCATGAGTAGTCTCTTCTGTTTAGGCTTTCCGGTCAAAATTTTGTATGCATTTCTAATCTCTCCCACGTACGCTACGTGCCCCACCCACCTCATCCTCATTCATTTGATCGCTAATAACTGGCGAAGAGTAGAGACCATGAAACAACTCGTATAATTTTCTCCAGCCTCCTGTCGCTTCATCCTTAGGTTAAAATATTTTCAAAATTCTACTCAGCATCCCCTATTATACAAAGAAGTGTATCTATAATATCTGAGGTTCTCACGGCTGTGAGTACAAAGATGGTTGTCTTCTGGGTTATTGTGCTCAGTAGTCTGGTAGAAGTTTGCCAACGTTTCAGGGGTGCTTGCAGCAGGGCCCTGATGATGGGAGCAGCACAGACCTCTGAAACATTGGTAAACTTCTACCAGACTACTGAACACAATAACCTAGAAGACAGCCATCATCGGCATGTATTTGGTTCTTACCATTCCAAGGCTTTCTGCTTCCTTTTCCTGTTGAGTTTACCAACACTGTAACTGCTGGATAAATTGCTAAGGTCACAACAAATGTCATCCACACAGAGAATCCGTACACCCAAATCTGGAAACAATAATTTGGTGATTCATATTTGACATTTCAAGGATTCTGCGTTATATCCATTTCTCAAAACACGGGAGTGCCATAGCTTAGATGCCACCTTCTTACCACAGGAGCAGTCCAAATTGGACTTACAGATGAAAATGGTGCTAAGTCAGGCATTTCTCCGTTTCCGGTCTTCTCGTCACAATCGTACTAACGCTCCCCAGTCATCTGTCACTGACCCTGAGATGTGTGATAGCCTGACGATCAACATATTAACACCTGCCGGGAACTGAATCCAGCTACACAACCTGCAGCCTGTTATCTCAATAAACTATCATAAATCGGAGAAACTATTATTGTACATACCTTACTAAGAATAGCCTTGTAAGAAATTTCTCTTGAAGGAGGATTATCATTCGCTTGAATAACAGCTGGTTCATACTGCATAGTGCTCACTTCAAGTTTGTCCAGCATGTGGAATTGGAAAAACACCTGTCAGAATAATTACATAACTGGTAATATATGTAGTATGCAGACAGTCAATGTTCTAAGATCAGAAATAAGTGAAGGCCCTGGATTGGAGGTAGATATAAGAAGTGACGGAACATGTTAAAATAAGATTCGCAAAGACGTTCTTTTGTTAAATTTTTTAAAATCTCAGTACCAAGGCCTTTCTATTTAAGTTAGAATTCACAACTGAACATACCAACTCAATGATACAGGTGTCTTAAGCAGCTGATTTCCTGTTTTAAATACTTTTCCACATGTTCATGTATAACACTGTATGCGGTATATCATGATACTATTATAAGAAGCCGAGATATGAAGAAGAGAGAAGGCTATGACTCAAACTGGGTATGTCATCAGGAAAGACAGGACAAGATGGGAGGAAGTTCGACTAAACATTTTGAAGCTCAGTCGTAACTATATGGACGACCCGCTTTAACAATCAGCAGCGCTGCATTTTGTATTTATGGGTTTCCTATTGATTCTCAGAATGTACAGTGATTATTTCCTTAAACAGCATTAAGAAGTTGAATGGTGAAGTGTTGTATTATCTTTGAAGTATAACTGAATTTCTAAATATTATTTGGATGAGCTTCAGCTTCACAGGGTTAATGAAATCTTAAATAAAATGCCAAATTAATACTTTAAATAATAACTGATATGAATGAGATACTGTCAAAGAACCCAGGCATTTCTTAAACATATTTTTCTTTGAAGATGGCTGTCTTCTGGGTTGTTGCACCATGTAGTCTGGTAGATGTTTACCGACATTTCAGAGGTCCTTGCCGCCCCCATCATCACGGTGATGAAACAGTAAACACCTACCAGACTACATGGTGTTACAACCCAGAAGACAGCCATCTTTGTATTCACTGCCATGAGAACGTCACATCACATTCAAGTTCAGATTCTGCAAGAACTGTAATTTGGTCTGGTTCGTTTGATCTGATAATTCAGAGAACCTCTGTATTCTATAAAAGCAGAGAATTTCCTGATCAGGTCTTCGACTGTTCAAATACAATGAAGTCGGTTATTTTCCTTCACCGTCAATTCAAATACACACCGAGTGGGAAAGAAAAATATATGCAGCAAGAGATAGAAGCAGCATCACATTGGCCACCATGAAATAGACAAATGCGCTAGTTGCAGAAGAAGCTCCAAAGCACAGGGAAGCAATCTCTGCCAACGCCGCAAAGATTCCACCTAAGGCTTGGCCGCTCACTACTGCTGTGATGTAGCGTGATGAGAACTTGCCCACAATACCAAACAGGCCCCCTTGTAGTATCGCACTTGCAACTGGAAAACAGAGATTACATGATGTCAGTGTCGGTCTTCTGGGTCGTAATGTCGTGTGGACTTGTATGTAGATACCAATGTCTGTCACTTCAGCCCGAAATTTCCCGACCTCTCACTTCCTCTGATCGTGACCGCGTCAAAAGGTGGGCATGACTCTGGAACATGGTCATTTGGCCCTGAACGTTCCTGAATGAAATCAAAGGAACCCAAGTCACCAAAATGGTGCTGAACATTTGAGAATTGTCAGTAAATATGTGTATATCAGTGGAACATTGCAGCTTCTTCTCTGACTGTCTCTTTGCATATATAAAGGGGAGTAGAATGTAAATTCAGAGTATTGTGTTGTACGGAGCTATGAACTACATGCTGCAGTGAAGTGGCTCATGACGCAGAATAGAGTAGCAGTGCATTACAACATGAAGACGAGGACATTTATAACCACTGTGAAGTCTGGCATCTGTGAACAGGACTGTGATGTATAAGCTGGCAGAGCATTTATCAAGGAAATTATTAATTGTAATAGCGAATAAAGTAAATCCATCTTTCATTATGAAGAACCCGCGGTTTAATCACTTATCTCCATCGCATTAAATTTCTCTGAAACGTTAATATCTGCACATAAGTCCACGTGGTGTTACAATTCAGAAGACCAACATCTACATCTTTACTGCCATAAGAACCTCAAATCTCACATCCAGATAACACAAGTGTGTCATGAGTCGGTGTATCACACTTAATTTTATCTCATATTTTATATACATGTGAAATTTTGTCATATGAATCATGCTTATCATCAAAGAGGTCATTCACAGTAAGTGACCTCCGTATACTAGAGAGAAGTGATATTAAAATTAAGACAGCAACACTGTATTTATCATGTGGTGCTCAATTTAAGTATGTTATAATAATTCTAGTAATGAACATGTAAAACACATGAATCAGCTGCTTTGCTTTCCACACACAACATAGGATTTTCCTTCTCCGGATACTTACTGTTAAGAAATACTACCATGACCAGTGTAATGCTGAAAAACACCTCCTGCCCTGCAATATATACAGAAATCATTAACATAACAAATTGTGTTCTGTGGCATTTTTAAATTATTTTTGGCTTACGTAATGTTCTCTATTAAGCTCTTTCAAATCCAAATATTCTCATATTCAGATGTCTTTAATTTCTGTCCTTTTTTTAAAAAAACACTAGGTAAATATACATCCTTAAACAATCTACATGAAGATGGCTGTCGCCTCAGTTGTTGCGCCATGTAGTCTGGTAGAAGTTTACTGACGTTGCAGAGGTCCTTGCTACCTCCATTATCAGGGCAGTGCGTGAATGCCCTGATGATGGAGGCAGCAAGGACCTCTGAAACGTCGGTAAACTTCTATCAGACTACATGTCGCAACAACCCAGGAGACAACCATCTTCAGACTTACCACCATGAAAACCTCACCTGACTCAATATTTTATACTGAAAATATTCCCCTTATACCACAGTTTTCATTTGTCTTTCTTAATACAGAACAACTGTTAAAATGACGTGCATATTCGTATACTTACAAGTGTCTGTATCAACTTCCACAAAGACCGTGGTCAAGACAAATAAGAGGAAGATGCACGAGAGTGACCCAATCATTCTAACTTGGAGCGAAATTCTGGAAAATAGTTTAATACATTCCTGTTACACCAGTTCATTCTGCAGAACTGTATATATAAAATGTATAATCACAACTATTTCACTACCGACTTACTTGTGACTGAATAACGTATTAAGAATGAGGAACATTGTGTTGGGAATGGTAGACGCGACACTCAGATACGCTGTGAAGCCTGCTTGAAGTTCTGTCCTGTTTTCTTTATCCGAAATGTTTGCACTAGCATCACGGAACTTGTACATCCAGTACTTAAAGGGGGAAAAAAAAAGGGTGTTTTAAGAAGTATGCATTGGAAATGAAATTCTGACTTTTTAAACTTACGTCATCCTTTTGTTATTTATTTCCATGCTGGGTTTCATTTATCAAGAATACCTTTCTTTATGTTTTATTGTGTATGCAGTATCTATGATAATGTAAGACGCTGATGAAATATAGTAAATTAAAATTTGCATGGATGGATGTTTCTAACAAATATTCATCATGTACGCATGGTCATCATTAAGAAGAAGGTTGCGCGCTTCTATTTCTTCTTGCAATATGTTGATAACATCTGAATGGCCAAAGTTCACACACGATCATAACATTTACAGTCAGTTTAATAAATCAAAATCAAGGATAAACAACTTACATAGTTGAAAATGTTTCCTGTAAATAAGAGCCACAAATACAAGGCCTAAAAATCAATTAATATAAATAAATTCACAATTTATAGAAACAGTGCACACTGTGTGCTTACCGGATACTCAGAAGAGAACACAAAAGTTTTACCCATGATGGCCCACAATCAGAATTATTGCTTGAATGTGGAAAAGGGAGATGATTAAGTTGCTAAATCAGTTGAGCACCAAATATTACAGATTTTACTTACAAAAATTAGTTTTAGAAGTGAGGCACCTATGACAAAAATAGTGTGAAATAGGTCTCATTTAGTGAATCCCTTAGCCATAGATTAAAATGGTTTGTGTATAGACTTGAAGAATAAATATATATATGAATTGTAAACACAAACATGACGCATCTAAACTATAAACCATAGATCTTTGTAAACCTATGAAATTGTTACTTTAATTAACTCAATCAGTGACGCTGACCACTCACCCCCATCTAGTGCCGAGGTTAAGAATGAGTAGGAACCATACCTCCTCTCCCCACAAGCGCCTATATGGCCTATAGTGAGACAGCTTTTATATTTACTTATACTGTACAAAAGTGAAACTACATTTACTGTAACCAAGTGCCAGCCAAAGATAAAGCCCTGATTTAGGACTAAGGGTATGACGACGTTCTGATTAGTCAGGGCTATCACACACCTCGTGATAGATGAGTAGGGAGCGGTGGTGAAATGATATTGTGTGAAGTCTACACAAATAGTGTAAGACATTACAATGCTAAGATATCTGTGTTGCATTACTATATTACATGTTATGAATTTAGCAATTGTTAACTGTTATAACTACATACTCAATTAAAACGAAACTGTGATTCATTATACATGCATCATCTGTCACACAAAATTCTAAAATCTAATCAGTGAACATGATAGCTGTTAAATAAATATTGTATGATATGCAAATAGAACTCACATCATCAGCAGTAATAAAAAAATTCCATGGAAGCAATGTGGTCATTCCCAAAAGATAAAATATTAAGTAGGCCAAGTTGTATCTGGAACGACATAAGTCACAATTACAATGCAAAGCCATGCTATTTCTGTAATTATGGTAGACGCATGTTAATGTCAAATGACTTCATCAATGTCGCGTGATAACAAATCACCAAGATGCAGATGCTGAATATCTATCTGACCCTTTTCTTTTAGTCATGAATGATTCATTAATTAAACAGTTGCACATGTGTTATGTGTAATTAAAATAATAATTAGTATTGTCAGTACTGAATATTTTACAAGACAAATCTGAAAGTACCTATCGCTTGGTTCTCGTAATTTAAAAAGTGGTCTCAAGTCTTTTGTTACGACAACGTGGTCATCTTGGTGATCAACACATCGATTCACTTCCGAGATATCGTCTTCGAAATCACTTTCACTCTCACTGTGTTGGAGAAGTGGTCTTGTGTTCACAGAATAATCCATTTTCCTCTCTGTTTGCTAAAACCAATACAAAGGAAAGAAACAATGAAAAGCAACAAAGTTTCAAGTGTAATATTGAAATAAGAAAAGGAAAATCAAGCAGATTTTTTTCCATTTTTAGTATTTTTAAAATTCTATGTGTGATAAGATTGGTTGTCTGAAACCTAATCTTTGCACATGCATTTTGTGTGGCATACATATGATTTGTATCATCCTGTATGACAAAAAATGTTGACACTAAAATATTTAATTTTAGTAAACATTTCTTAAAAAATAAGAAATTAATTTAAAGACATCAAGATAGGGAAAAAGTGTCCTCTGATATGAAAAGGTTAAGAACCCCTTCCTTACGGTTTTGAGGGTTAACATACACTACCAACTGAATTTACTCCTAAATTTAATTAAGTTATGTTATGATCTGCTTTCAGTTTCTTTACAATAAGGGCATTAAAATATTACCTGCAATATTTTCTTTATCTTTATCAGACTGCACAGTGCCAAATGATAGGATGATTAACTAATAATGAATTGGGAAGGGTATGAAAGTTGTCTAATTTAAGGTACTATCCCAGCATCTACCTGGTGGAACAAAGATAAACCAGAATAAACCTGTCAAGATAGCTGATTTTTGGGTACAAATTTGAGCCGATGACCATAAACCAGAATAAACCTGTCAAGATAGTTGATTTTTGGATACAAATTTGAGCCGATGACCTAAATACATAACAGCTGTAACATTCAATATATATTCAAGGATGGCCAAATGCACAATACATCAGTGTTATGCTATTGACAATAATTATTTTAAAAAATATGTGGTATAAGATAAACATACACAACAAATGGTCATTCTTATTAAAAGCTACCACATATATCTGGAATATTTTTTTCCATGTAACCATCATTTATTGAAATATGTTTATGATATATTTAGGCCCTTGCTTAAAAAATTAGTCTATACTGTCAAATTTGAAGAGACGAAATTAATAAGCCACCATATATGGTTGGTAAATGTTTGAAATTGTGAAGAATTTCGGACTTATTCAGTTGAAAATAAATTATTCATGTTTAGAGAACATCCGACCCTATCTCTCTTCATTTTAACAAACACGCCACGCCTTCAAAAAATGTTCTCATGTTAATGCATTTGTATTTTTTTTAATTTTGTGAATTAATACACAAGGCGACGTGTTTCTGTAAAATGACAATACGAACTGTACTTACTGTCCTTTCACTTTAAACCAACAAATCACATTTTCAAATAATGAAAAATACGTGGCACACACAAACCTGTATTAATTGTTGATTTATTGCGAGGACATGATGAATTCCAATCAAATTAAAAGTCTACACACAAATGCGTTTAATGTTTTATATTACATAAAGGAAAAAAATCTTCAAACACTTGTACTTTAAACCGAACCTCTTGGTTTTGCTTCGTTACTCGTCACATAAATACAGTACCGGAGTTTAAAAAAAACTCGTAGATGGATAACAACATGGGCTCACTCTTAAAACACCAACATTAAGACTGTGGCCATCAGCCACCCAAACAGATGTATTTTGTGTGTATCATTATCTGCTACATAAATAGATGACTTCACTCTCCACACAAATGATTCATACCAAATCCGATTCACGACCTCGCACAGCTGACAAATTTCACAGCTGGCTGTCGGAATCATACGATAGAATCGAACATGCCTCTTTGAATAGTGTAATAGAATAGAACATAGAATCGAACATGCCTCTTTGAATAGAGTAATAAAATAGAACAGAATTTCGTGTTTCTAAGTAATCTAACAGCATTGCTTTGAAATATAGTGCTGTAAAATGAAAATGCCGCACTGTAATTTGGTGGCCAGTTTCTTATTATTCTTACGATTGTTATTGTTTGTAGGGTTATGATGTTGATTCCGGAAAAGTTATGTCGATTGCAATCGATTTCCGTAGTCAGTTTTGTTATAAAGATACAAGACTACATTCCGTGCATACAGTATTGGTTGGTGGTGCATTATTCCAGTTTTACGTGAAAAGTGGTATCTTTTAAAATAACTATCTGCACATCATGCTAGAAAATCTATCAGGAAGTATGTTTCAAAGTGTAAGTACCGTTTACATTTAATGGGTATAAAATACAATTATAATAAAGAGTACACAAAGCCCTGAATTAGATTGAAAAAACATGGCCAGTAAAGTTTTTTATGGTGACTGAATAACACCTGAGTATAAATTCTGTTTGATGTTAAATTAAAGCACTGCCAGATTTTCATACGAGTATATTTCATTCTAATTTCATACTTATTACGCTTAATTTATAATAATATCCATTAATTCAGCCACTTCAAATACTAGTGCTATTTATCAATTCTAGGCTACTAAGGAGGTTGAGGACAAATGGAGGACATGGGCCCCCTAAGATGTTACATATGTATCATATCGATCATTATCACTTATTAATACTTAAATGAATTAAAATTGAATATAATTCTGTTGAGCATACTTCCATGAGCACAAAGACATATCATTGTTATCATTTTTAATTTTCTACTACAAAACCTCAGAAGTTGTTAAGAGTCAACGAATTTATCAGCACCAATTATTTCAAATTTCCCAGGTTGAAGCTCAGTGAATGATAATGTGACTTGATAATGATAATAATAATAATAATGAAACACCAGGTTGAAGCTCAGTGAATGATAATGATAATAATAATGAAACGTGACTTCAGCCATATATATCTTACTGGAGTAGGTTTGAAATGTCTTCAGATATTGTAACCTGCCAGATAATTTCTTGATGTGTTTATGTGCTTCAAATTGAACATTGCAACATTCTTCAGTATAGTTTTTTTTATTTGAAACTAAATATTTATTTCACTTTTTACACTGATTAACATCTTATACAAAAGCATTCTTTGGCAATCTAAATTTTCTATATACAGTTATTTTGATTGTCTTCAGAAAATAATGACTAATATAAATCAATGGTTTAACATGAATTTCTTTTGCAAATTCTTCACAGCGCCATTTGTTGGTACAGTTGTCTCTATTTCTAAAACTACATCTTGTGTTTCCGAGGGCTCGCTGGAAGCATTACACTGCATTTCTGGGTTGTGTCTGTTTGATGCTGCCATTTGTACTTCCTGTAAAACAAAAATTTGCTCTATAATGGATTCAGGAAATCTCAAGTTACACAAAAAATTAGAAATGGATGCTATATCTGATACACTTATATACTTTTATGATGTCAATTTGTCAGGTGAGAACACGAATGATAATCACAATAATCCTTCAACTGTTTTACAAGCCATTACACTGGGCTTACTGTAACTAGAAGCATTACAAAACCTTGCATGAGTGAGGGCACAATAGTATTGAACATGCGTACAGTCGTCTAGCGTACGTCACCGATTCTCGTATAACAGTGGCTTATAAATAATTAGAAATGCTTTAGAAATCTAAATCCATACATAATATTTTTTAATATTTGAGACAGTGTTAAGAATTTATTGTTTGTTGTTAATTAGAAGAAGCTTTACTTGTAATGTAGCAGACGGGTAACTGTACAAAAGTTCATTTGTGTTCTAACCTGATAGATAACTGCATCTGCAGCAGTTAACTGCTCTTTTGATAAGTGTTCGACAATGGCTGCCGCGTAGCAGTCGCCCAGCATGTTGTTGGTGGTTCGGATTCTATCTCTGTGGAAAAGAGGAATTTAAAAAAATCAGTTGTGTAAAAGTTTTTACATTGTTTTAAAATATGACCAAATATCATGGTCGAGTGGGTAGCCACTCATGCTTCGTAATCGGAAAGTTCCAGGTTGGAATCTTGGCCCAGAGACAAGCTATCCTGACTGAGGATTTTTGTGATTTTCCTCAGTTCCTCCAGGAAAATGCTGTGATAGTACCTTAAATTAGCACATGACCGCTTCCTTACACATCCCTTCTAATTCATTATTTGCTATTATATTTTCATTTGATGCTGTATAGTCTGAGTTACTGAAAAAGTGTTGTTGAATAAACTACACATAAATATAAAATATGGTCTTTTGTTCAGAATGGTTGAAGTTCAGCTGCTTGAAAATTGAAATACTAGAGGAAATGTTCAGATCATAGACAGATGAACTGAATTAAGTGACATATTTAGAAAATAGCACCCAGGTAAAAATGTATTCTCTTTTTCTGTTTTGTTGTTATAGGTAAATTAAAATGGTTGTCATGTAAGGAAGTGCCCCTACAAGATTTGTGTCAGGCTAGTTTTAAGTTCAAGATTTGATTTAATTTGTTTCAAGTCTTCAAACAGTTGTGAAGAATCAGTGCAATCATATGGATTATAAACCCAGTAATTAATTAATTAAAATTGTGAGTTGTATTTAGTCACAGTCTCATGTCAATTCTTTTACGTGTACAAACAACAAGGAGATCAGTCTGTGCAAAGAAGCAGATTTCACACCACATACAGTTCTCAAATGGGGCTAATCATTACCTTCGAGTACATCTTGCACTCGGTGAGACTGTAATAGCTTCATTAAGTTGAACTGGTCGTTCTTATAGGTTATGTTCTTGAGACTCATATAAATGAGGCTGATACTCACACAAACCAATCAATTGCAAACAAGAGAGAGACTTCTTGTGTCGGTGCATCTATCGTTGATAGTACCATAAAAATTAGTGCAAGGGCTGCACTGGGTACACTAGCAGAGGAAAAGCTTGCTGCTGTCGACACTAAACTATACACACAGAAAAAAGTGCATGTTAACTAAATTAATTTCACTGTATGATAAGATGGGGGTAATATGGTCTTATTACAGTGGGATAATTTGTAATGGTGAGTTGGGAGGAATGGAAGAGAAAGAGGTTGTTCTTCATTGTAGGAGGATGTTGCAATCAGTAAAATTTTGGGTGATTAACCCTTTAAAGGTTAGTTTATGACTTAACACTGGTTTCTGCATGATGTTGGGAAAAAATTACATATACTGGCACCATTAATTTAGGAATATGATTTTGCTTTGCTTTAAAATTTGTACATATGTAGTTTTTTAAACATTCAGCAGCACATAGTACTAGAGGCAATGAAGTAGAACTCAGGCTGTACTTTTACAGAGTTTGACGTCTCAAGAAAATTAAAATTTATAGTCAAACTAGTCAAAAGTTGGTAGATGATGAGAACATTTTGAATTCTGTTCTGCATTCCGTAGGAGAAGTAGAGAACAGTTTTAATCTTTACTTTTAAATTATTTAATTTCGTCCTTCGAATGTGCATTAGGCCAAATGCAAAGTGATGCATTGGTCGAGAAAATACTAAAGTGTCTTTATAACTTAACTGAAGAAATGGTCATACTTCCTCAAGAAGATATTTGTGTTCTTTGTGAATAATCAGCGCAATATTTTATGATAAATATTGGTGGGTCGAACAGCATTCAACGTACCAGACTGTAATTATTTCTCCTGTACTCAACTGCATTTCGTTCATTTGTGCTATGAAGAAAGATGAAATGGCAACAAACATTGCTGTGCCATCCATATTGATGTTGCAGCCAATTGGTAGGATGAAGCGAGATATGCGTGGATCTACGCCCACTTTCTGGTCCATGCATCGGAAAGTGACTGGAAGAGCCGCTGCTCTGTGGTCAGAACATATAATATGACTTAATAATATAGCGCACGTGTTTTATGTCAGTTGTATGTCTGAAATGTGAAAACCATTGAAATATTTTATTCAAATAAATTATGTTTAAAAAAATTATTTTACATAGTTAAACAGAGGTATTAAACAATTATTTCATTATAATCTTAATAGATGCAGGTACAGAATTTATTTACTGAATAGGAAGTTCAAATTATTGATTGTGTCCCACACTGGTGAAAAATACGCTTTGTTGTCCAACACACAGTTCTGTATATAAAAGTTGTAGATAATGGTTTCCTAAATTCTTTTCAAACATTCCATGAGTGTAATGCATAATTAGTAGACTACATTATTTATATTCATATGTCTACGTATCTTTCGTTGGTGTTTATTTGTAAGGGAGAGGTTTAAAAAGTTGTGTGAATTGCATAAAATGACTTCACGAGTAGGATGTCTTGTCTCTCTGTTGTACCGCACATTTTGTCTTTATTAGGTTGATTAAGTTTGGTAAAGTATGTGTCAGGTGACATCAATTTCAGTCGGTGAAAGATCTTTGTATTCATTTATTTTTTATTTATTTAACGATGCTGTCGGTGGCTCAGACTATGTAGTGTCATATGATGGGATGAAGAATAATTAATGTATTATAAAGGATATAGAAGAGAGTGGTGGTCTAATTTAAGTATTATCATAGAATTTGCCTGGAGAGACTGAAGAAAACCACAAAAAATCACAGTCAGGGTAACCAGTTATCTGGTAGGAATTTTAACCTGGAACCCCCTGAATAAGAAACAGCAGTGCATACCGCTTGGCTCGGACTGTATTAAACATGTTATCAGCAGTACAATATTCAATAGCTCTTCTGGTTTTTTATATATCATACATTTGTGGCATACGTATGAGAGGGTAACATTAGATGTTTTGCGGGCATGTAGTCTGGAGGAAGGTGATGGTGGTGACTTGAGACTCACGTTGATGCTGTAGCAAATGCTGTCAGGGTTGCCTGAATTAGCCCCCAGTAGTACTTGTACGGGTTACGGCGCACAATGATAAAATAGATCAGCTGCATTATTACGAACTGGTACAGGAAGACACCCAGTGCCACTGTAAATATGAACCAGCCCACCTGCTGCAACACTAGGCCGAGGTCTCCCACAGATAGGATCTTTCCACAGATAACACTGATGATACCCACTGGTGTTAACCTGGAAACAGTTGCATTAGACCTTTGTCGGATTTTGAATTATCAATCAGCAAAACTAGGTATATTTTATTACAGAGTTTGACGTCTCAAGAAAATTAAAATTTATAGTCAAACTAGTCAAAAGTTGGTAGATGATGAGAACATTTTGAATTCTGTTCTGCATTCCGTAGGAGAAGTAGAGAACAGTTTTAATCTTTACTTTTAAATTATTTAATTTCGTCCTTCGAATGTGCATTAGGCCAAATGCAAAGTGATGCATTGGTCGAGAAAATACTAAAGTGTCTTTATAACTTAACTGAAGAAATGGTCATACTTCCTCAAGAAGATATTTGTGTTCTTTGTGAATAATCAGCGCAATATTTTATGATAAATATTGGTGGGTCGAACAGCATTCAACGTACCAGACTGTAATTATTTCTCCTGTACTCAACTGCATTTCGTTCATTTGTGCTATGAAGAAAGATGAAATGGCAACAAACATTGCTGTGCCATCCATATTGATGTTGCAGCCAATTGGTAGGATGAAGCGAGATATGCGTGGATCTACGCCCACTTTCTGGTCCATGCATCGGAAAGTGACTGGAAGAGCCGCTGCTCTGTGGTCAGAACATATAATATGACTTAATAATATAGCGCACGTGTTTTATGTCAGTTGTATGTCTGAAATGTGAAAACCATTGAAATATTTTATTCAAATAAATTATGTTTAAAAAAATTATTTTACATAGTTAAACAGAGGTATTAAACAATTATTTCATTATAATCTTAATAGATGCAGGTACAGAATTTATTTACTGAATAGGAAGTTCAAATTATTGATTGTGTCCCACACTGGTGAAAAATACGCTTTGTTGTCCAACACACAGTTCTGTATATAAAAGTTGTAGATAATGGTTTCCTAAATTCTTTTCAAACATTCCATGAGTGTAATGCATAATTAGTAGACTACATTATTTATATTCATATGTCTACGTATCTTTCGTTGGTGTTTATTTGTAAGGGAGAGGTTTAAAAAGTTGTGTGAATTGCATAAAATGACTTCACGAGTAGGATGTCTTGTCTCTCTGTTGTACCGCACATTTTGTCTTTATTAGGTTGATTAAGTTTGGTAAAGTATGTGTCAGGTGACATCAATTTCAGTCGGTGAAAGATCTTTGTATTCATTTATTTTTTATTTATTTAACGATGCTGTCGGTGGCTCAGACTATGTAGTGTCATATGATGGGATGAAGAATAATTAATGTATTATAAAGGATATAGAAGAGAGTGGTGGTCTAATTTAAGTATTATCATAGAATTTGCCTGGAGAGACTGAAGAAAACCACAAAAAATCACAGTCAGGGTAACCAGTTATCTGGTAGGAATTTTAACCTGGAACCCCCTGAATAAGAAACAGCAGTGCATACCGCTTGGCTCGGACTGTATTAAACATGTTATCAGCAGTACAATATTCAATAGCTCTTCTGGTTTTTTATATATCATACATTTGTGGCATACGTATGAGAGGGTAACATTAGATGTTTTGCGGGCATGTAGTCTGGAGGAAGGTGATGGTGGTGACTTGAGACTCACGTTGATGCTGTAGCAAATGCTGTCAGGGTTGCCTGAATTAGCCCCCAGTAGTACTTGTACGGGTTACGGCGCACAATGATAAAATAGATCAGCTGCATTATTACGAACTGGTACAGGAAGACACCCAGTGCCACTGTAAATATGAACCAGCCCACCTGCTGCAACACTAGGCCGAGGTCTCCCACAGATAGGATCTTTCCACAGATAACACTGATGATACCCACTGGTGTTAACCTGGAAACAGTTGCATTAGACCTTTGTCGGATTTTGAATTATCAATCAGCAAAACTAGGTATATTTTATTATAATGATGAACTTAAAAATTTGTACTCCTCCCCCAGTATTGTCAGGGTGATTAAGTCGAGGAGTCGCATGGATGGGACAAGAGGTGTGCACCAGGTGTTGGTTGGGAAGCCTGCGGGGAAGTGACCGCTGGGGAGACCTAGACGTAGATGGGAGGATAATGTCAGGCGGGATCTGTGGGAGATAGGAGTTGAAGGAGACTGGATTTTGTTGGCCCAAGACAGGGTCCGGTGGAGGGCTTTGGTTAATTCGGTGATGAACCTTCGGGTTCGGTAAGCCATTTAGTTAGGTATATTTTATTACTTGACTCCAGGTGAAGTATTTTCATTGAAAACATAAAAATCATTCATCTTAACAAGAAAGTAACTTATTCTCTGGAACCTGAAATTTTATTACCCTCTTCACAAATATCCATCACTGGACCCGAACTTGAGCCAGTTGAATCCAGCCCACACTTTATTTTCAATGCGTTTTAATATTATGCGTCTACTTTCTTACCACATCACCCCAGAGACCATCCTCATGACAACTTCTTCAATTATAGTGAAGAACTCAACAACAATGTTTGCCTTTCTGCCCATTGTACCAAGTATTGTCCCAAATATGAGACAGAAGAAGATAATACCCAGAGTATTGGTGCCAGACCTGAAATAAATATAATTAGACCTCATTTGTTTGTTGTTTACTTAATAATACTTTGTCATCTTCATGTTATATAGCATGAGCGTGAGAAATTATACAGTGAATAGGTATTATGAATTGAATAGAGTGTGGGAGGAAGCTGTCAGGGACTATTTAGTCCATTGACACGCAATTTTATATTGTTTGCTTCTACGCCTGTATCAGTGACACAGTTACCACAGTACTGTCTGCAAGTATATGGCATTTAGTTTTATTTGATGGATCCTATTGCGTGTTGAATTTTAGGTCGACAGTCCGTCTACACAGCAATTTGTTATTGTAGTCTCATTGTTTATTAAGATCCAGTACATGTTTGGCCAGGTGGTGGAACAGACAACATCCGCAAGGATCCATGCAAATATGTATGCTATTTAGCATTCATATCTATTCATTTTGACCACTTAAAGAGAACCACCTGAGTATGACCAGTCAAGGTCGAAACACATAGTGGATCTTGATAAACAACGAGACTGTAACAAAAAAATTGTTGTGTTGATGAACTGTCAACCTACATAACATCTTTTGTCTGATAAGGGAACTACGTATTCCAACTTTCATTTATTTGTTTCAAAATAATCCTGTAGTCATCAAAGCTTGGCAGTGGATTTTGATGTAGTATCATCCCAGCGTATCTCTGAACAGTTTCAAATGAGCACTGCCCTATTATAAATAATTTCTAACCAATACGTCCTAACATTGATAGTTTGTACTGTAAATGAGAGAAACGTTGGTGATACAGATTTCCTCAGGATTGGGTCCAGTGTGTGATGTTGCGTTACGCGTCTTGAAATTTAGGAGAATTTTGATATCAGAGAATGGCTTAGTTATTTCTAGTCAAAGAGTGATGAACAGTTTAGGATATTTATTAACATGGAACTTTGTGATTTAGTCTGTACAGGTCACCTAATTTATAACATTTTTATACAGAAGGATGCACATGTGGCTAGAATGTGGGAGACAAGGAATCCATACAGAATTTTAATGAGGAAATCTCTTGGTGAACATCCACTTGTAGAACAAGAATGAGATAGCTTTAAGATGTACCTTATGTTGTGAGGATGGGAGGTGCTTGAGAGTGGCTCAGGATTGCATCCAGTGTTGGGCTTTGCTATTAGTTGTGCTGATCGCCACGTTTTGTTACCACTTGTAGTTACATCCTACTTACCTGTACTGGATCATCCTTATAGATTCCACATTAGCATCCATTGGCATTGATGTGTTATTTCCAGTGACAGAGTCGACCACCAAATTCTTGGGAATGTACACTGTATGCGCCTGTGACATATTTAGAATATTAGCTGAAATACCTGGTTCATGCCATGGAGCAGACTGAGCCAAAGAGGTCGTCATGTGCCACTTGTTTTCTGTTGCATGTAGTTCATATAGTATATTAACAGATGGCACTGCTATGTAATAACATTTTAATGTGTAATAATGATGCTGTTAGAAAATGGCACTCATAATTTTCTAAAGAAATTCATTTACATTTTTACATACAGATGGACAGAATATTGTTAGTGTAAAAAATTGCTACTGTTTGTAATAAAACCATTTATGAGGTCTGAGGTTCTTACAATGTTGTAGATGTTGATGTTGGTCTTATGGGTTGTAACACCATGAAGCTGTAGGTAGTATGTTCCTCCAAAACTTTGATATCTACCATCATGTTCATTCATTGTTACAAGCCACAAAATTAACATTAACAAAGCCATTTAAAAACAAATAATCTTATAGATTTGAAACTTAAGATCAATTAATGCCATCAACATGCAGAGCTCAGATTTTAAAACTAGGGGTCACGTGTTTCCCAGCCCACTTATTTATTATTCGGACGCAGGGTGAATACAAAGAGACACGTACCTGTTGAAATGCAGCTTGGAAGAGGTTATCAGGGAACATGTTTCTATTAAAAGAAAAAATACACTGAGTTAACATTTAAAACTGTTATCTTCTATTAATGAATTAAAGCAGCAACTCTACAGTGAGATTTGATGTCCTCGCGACAGTGAAGATTTTGATGTTCGACTTCTGGGTAGTAACGCAGTTTGGACTTTTAAGTAGAACCAACATTTCGCTAGAGTGAGGTCGTTGGGACATGCATAGTTTATAGATCCAGGAGCATTTCTTACTTGTTTTTAACACAACATAAATTTCAGAAATTTATTTGTAAATACTTCAGTAAGTTTTTTTTTAATAACCTAACCTAAATTCAAATAATCCTTACTATAATGCTCTTCTGATTTATCTGTAATCCCATACGTTAAGATTAAAATATGCAAAACCTGTAATTGTATCTGTTATGTTATATGTATCCTCCTTTTCCCTGCTCTTTGGGTCTAAACCAGCGTTTCTCAACCTGTGGTACGCGAGCCAATGTTGAGTTGTACACGAACTAAGTAATAAAATCAAAAGATAATGTTAACATAAATAAGTTTTCCCTGAACGCAATTTGAATTGTGGTACATTTAGTGTGTTAAATTGGAATTAGTGGTACGCCAGCGAAAAAGGGTGAGAGAATTCCTTCGGGCTAAATAATTCTCCCCAGTGGTGGTG